TTACAACAGACTGAAACATGGGTTATAATCAGATGTGATGGAACAAAGCTGTACTTGCCGAGTGTGGGGAAACTGGGGCAAAACCCAAAGCAGAATGAGCATTGTGCAGGAAGAAGCATCTTTGCCTGATGATGTGTTTGCCATTAATGTGCTCTAATGGAGCAGACTGGAGCCCCATCCTTCAACAACCATCTTCTGCTGAATCCTGTTTAAAGCCTCCAGCAGCCATACAGGTGCCCAGCTATTTCTTTTTTCATACCTCCTTTTGAGATTAAATCAATCCTGCCCCTCCCAAGGCAGAATTCCTTCCTATAAAGCATTAACTGATCTGTCTCTCGTAACATTGATGTGGCTTTCACCAGCTCTCTTGAGCAATACTCAAAAAGCCAGAGAGGTTTTTAGTCTGGCTGCCCTTCCTGATGCTTAGCAGAAATGGTCCCTGGCTTGCTTTAATTTTATTGCCATTTAGGCATCTTTGACTATGCCAGCCTAAATAATTAATCTCTTTCTTTTTTTTCCTTTTTTTTTTTTCTCTGTGTGTATTTTGTGGTTCATTTTTACTGCTCAACTATTTCTTAAGGAAGCTGTGCATATTTCAGTGTCTTAAATACAGGTTTCCAAAGTTTTAGATGTGGAGGGATATTTTACATGTGAGCTATAGAAGGGTGCACTATAAAATGGACCAGCAGTACAATACTTTATGCACAAAATTATGAAGCACTGGTATAGGCTGTACAGAGACTCTGTGGCTGCCCCATCCCTGGAAGTGTTCAAGGCCAGGCTGGATGGGGCTTTGAGCAACCTGGTATAGGGGAAGGTGTCCCTGCCTGTGTCAGGGAGTTGGAACTATATGATCTTTCAGGTCCCTTCCAACCCAAGCCATTCTGTGATTCTGTGAAATCAAAACCGGGGGCATTGACTCTATAAATGGCCATGTATCGCTACATATGTCAGCAAAAGACCCTGTTGTTGTCACAGCATACATAAACTTGTATTTCAGGGGATGCTACAACTTTTAATGCCTTTAATGCCATGTGTAATGGCTTCAGAGGCCATAAGCAGCCTGTGGGATGGACTTTGGAAACCTTAACAACTTACCATGATCCTCTCCTACCAAATTCCAGATTGTTCTTGCTTTGCTGCTCTGTGTTTGATTAATCTAATTAACGAGATCCTCTGAATGACACTAGGATCAGCCTGTTAACTCCATCTTGGATGTTGCCTGTGAAATCCCATAGGATTGATTTATTTTCCTTCCCTGACATTTGTAAAGTGAAATCTGTGTTTGCAATCAATTTCTTTTCCCAATAAAAATCCTGATAAAATTTGTCTTTACATATATAGATATGTATGTGTGTGTATATACATATAGACACACATATATGTCTTAAAGAAAGATCCATGTCTCTTTGGCAACCACATAAACATAGTTATAACTTTACTTTCATTTTTTGGCTAAAAAGGATGGACTACAGCAGTACCCATTTTTCAGAGTGATTAAATACATAGTAGTATTTGTGCCATTTCTTTACATTTTACTTATCTTGGCAAATCATGGCTGATGCTTTCTTTGCATGATTACTTGTACCTTTGTGGGTTTTTGCCAAGTTGGGTGAAACAGGCACTCAGTTAAATTATGTATACAGAATTTTATTTATTAGTTAATTAAAGCACTCTTAAATGGGATGAATGCAGAAGAGGGGAAATAAGCTTATCCAAAGCTGTTCTACATTCAAAATGATTAAGCAAATGAAGTGGTATGATGATGATAGTTCTAAATACATGAAGGCATCAAAAAAATGAAAACAGGTAGATGTCATTTTGCATACTTTCATGCCTTCCTGCTGTGTCAACCCCCATCACTCTCCTGGGTTCGAACCAATTATTTGCTGAACTAAACTCATGGGGTAGAAGGTTGTTACAGAAATGTTCTCTCTGCAGCTGTTGAGGATGCTCCTGTGAGTAAAACCCAAGTTAAAATTTACAAGCCTGGTCAGTTGAAATGCTCAGATGCTCAGAGAGCAGCTTCTATTCAGGAGTTTGACTCTTCCATAAAGTCAACCACTGCTGGTTTCTCTCAGTTTACATCACCTGATAATATTATGACTTTAAATCACCCTTAGACTTTTTTCACCATGATACTAAAAACATTTGTTTTAAAAAGAAGGAGGAATTTAAATACAGGTTGCTCTAAAAGCACAAAATAAATTATGTGTTCAGCATCTTTATCTCTCAAATTAGATCTCTAGCTGATCTAATTTCAATGGATTTTATGTGCTACTTGGGAAGTAGCTACACGAAAGACTTTACTGTAATTCTCTGCTTCCAAGAACCATAGTCCAGTTTGCACTTGTCCTTGCTGACTGCAGGTTATAAAATCAGATGGCAGCATCGACATGGCCTTCAGCTTCAAAGAGCTCATGTTACTGGCATATTGTGTTGGCAGCCTCCCATTTCGACTGCTGATGAAGAAAAAAGTTACGAGAGATTTTAACATAATCTGTTCAGATTGGACTGAGCCATGTGCCTCTCATTCAGTCTATGAGCCAGAGTAAACCTAGGGTGGATGATGAGTTTGAAATGAAAATCTGTGTCTTTGGACCATATATTTGAGATTAGATGTTGCACTTAGTGCCGTGGTCTAGTAACGACGGTAGGGTTGGACGCGATGATCTTTGAGGTCTCTTCCACCTAGGTTGATTCATGATTCTGTGATTCTATATGGTGGTCTTTCAAGTTGTCACTCTTGGCCAAGGGCTCTTCCAAGAGCCTTGTCACAGACCCATCAAGGGAAACATCACACTCTGCATCTGATTAAGGCTGGCAAAAAGCATGAGAAAATTACTCCTGGTGTACATAAGCAAGCTTGGGCTCAAAAGTATGAACTTCACCAATGAAGAAAGAACAGAAAAATTAGGGTTGTTTAGTCTAAAACAGCCTGAGGAGTAGCAGAGATGGGGAGTAATGAATGTGGTCTTTGGTGTCACTGTCAATCCTGTTTCTACAGACTGTATTATTTGCAGGGAAGTGTAGGGGTGAAACATTTCTGTTTGATGAAATATGAAAAAAAGTAGAATCTATTCTGGGCAGTTTTTGTGAATGCCTGAATGTGATTGTAGGAATGCTTTTACAGATATACTGCAAGCCCTTAGGGGAAAAAATACATGGCAGCCACTTGTGCTACAGAATTAGATCAGTTGAAGCCTCCACGTGATCAGGTTTAACAGCTCTTTGATTCTACATTGGGTAGAAGTCTTCAGGAGTGGGAAGTACACTGAGACTGCTGTGCTAAGGGAAGTTTAGCACTGGAACAAATGTGTTTTTCTGGGGTGTATTTGACTGAGGTTAGTCACAAGGATGGTCTTTGGTCATGGGCATACATGGGATGTTGTGTTGGTCTGTGCATGCATTTGCCAGTTTTGTTGGATACATGGGACTAAAGGGTACACAGGCAAAACACTCTGGATTTAGAGATCTATTTTTTTTCATTAATTGTTGTGCAGTGAGGTACAGGCTGTGTGCCAAGGGCCAAAGAACAAAGTGGAATTTTAGTCTTGAAGTGAAATACAGATTCCCCTTTGAACTCTTAATTAGCTGCCCTAGGTTGGGCCAGTTTTTCTTAGCAAAAAATGCTTAGATGCTGCTATCTAGAGATTTATTTGTTTTAGGATGCCATTAACACTAATATATGGAGTTTAGCAGCCATAAAGAATTGATATTCTAGTATTTTGCTGTGACTCCAGAGCTGATGGTCTAGCATTGTGTCTGTGATTATTCCATGACTAGTTAGGAAAATGCCTGCACTTAATTTTAAGGGCGCAGTTCAGCAGCTTTCTGTTGAATGACTGTAGTTACTACAGCAAGAGCTACCTCCTACCTCTGCAAGTAAACACTGATGGGTTTTCTGCTGAACAGCTGATTGATTTGGATTCAGCAAACAAGGAAAAAGAGATTTGCAGGTCCTAAGGTAGCAGGATTGATGGCCCAACTGTGCAAGACAGCTGAGCTGATCTGCAGTGGGGAGGGCTACATAGCTCCTTCCTCTTCCCTTGCACCACCCCTGGCACTGGTCTGGTTCCAGGATATAGTAGAAGCATATGCTGAATAGAGGTGTTGGGTTTTCTCCCTAAACTGGTTCAGTGTGGGGTCAGATGAGTGCCAGCAGTGGCATAAGGGAGGAGGATGGTAAGGTGGAGGGCAAAGGGAGGTCACATCCCTTCCTAAGGCAATGATGCTTAACTGCATCTTAAAATTGCATGCTCGGTTTGTCTCAGCTGATTGCAGACGAACTACGTGGAAATGACGTCAACTGGGATATGGCCCCAATTAATTAGAAAGTGTTTTCTAGGGTAAAGCACTTTGGAAGGAGAAAGCCTGGTGATTTTTTTACTGAATGGAACCGCAGACTGTTGGTGTGCTCACAGCAGCAACTGCTCACTGTCTCCCTGCTAGGCTGACCACATTCAAACCTGTGTCAGGGAATTCTGCTGCAACAGCTTTGTTGCTTTAATTATATCTTCAAACACCATGGAAGGTGTTGGGATGTGTCCAGTTTTTGTCCTGTCCTTTTTTGCCCCTTCTAAATTCTGTGTTCACAAGGGAAATGGGATCAGGTGAGCCCAGGACACAACTCTTGCTTTTAAATCCGTCATCACTGTAAGCATTGGTAGGAGAGATTTCACTTTTAGCATGATTGTAAAGTTTTGGAAGACTCATGACTTCTGACACTGAACTAAACTAAACAAAATCCTCTTCAAGTCTGTTAGGTATAAAAACATCCTTATGCTTGTTCTCAAGTTACAACCTCCAAAAGTAATTCCTCACTTCTAATTTCTGCTATGAATTCTGGCCATGTGGTTGCCCTTATATATTTAGGACTCGTTATCTCTGTAGTTTAATCTTTCAAAAAGGTCAATGCAACTAAATGTGTGGTGTTGGATTTTTTTTTTTACTTTTTTTTTTTTTTTTAGAATTAGTCCCAGCACTGTGACTTTTCCATCATGTCGGAACCTATCACACTCAATGTTGGAGGAAAGCTCTACACCACCTCTCTGTCCACTCTGACTAGCTTTCCAGACTCCATGCTGGGGGCCATGTTTAGCGGGAAGATCCCCACCAAGAAGGACAGCCAAGGCAACTGCTTTATTGACAGAGATGGCAAAATCTTCCGCTATATCCTGAACTTCTTACGAACTTCTCACTTGGACCTCCCCGAAGACTTTCAGGAAATGGGCTTACTTCGGCGGGAGGTAGATTTTTATCAAATTCAGCCACTCATTGAGGCCTTGCAGGAGAAGGAGGTGGAGCTTTCCAAAGCAGAGAAGAATGCCATGCTCAACATCACCCTCGATCAGAAGACCCAGACTGTTCACTTCACCGTCCGAGAAGCACCCCAGATCTACAGCCTGTCTTCTTCAAACATGGAAGTGTTCAGTGCTCATATCTTCTCCACGTCATGCCTGTTCCTGAAGCTTCTTGGTTCCAAACTTTACTATTGCTTCAATGGAAACCTCTCTTCAATATCCAGCTACCTGCAGGACCCCAACCATTTGACCTTAGATTGGGTTGCAAGCGTGGAAGGCCTTCCTGAAGAGGAGTACACCAGGCAGAACTTGAAGAGGCTTTGGGTGGTGCCAGATAATAAACAAATCAATAGTTTCCAGGTGTTTGTGGAAGAAGTGCTGAAAATAGCTATGAGTGATGGTTTCTGCATAGATTCTTCTCATCCACATACTTCAGATTTCATGAAAAATAAGATTATTCGCCTAATTCGGTATAAGTAGGAATGACTGTTTATTGTGGTGCCAGCATGGAGATAACACAGGTTAAGTGTTTCCCTTTAAAACACACTTACAGCCTAATTCAGAATTGTGTTTATCTGGATTAAGAGTCACTAACAAGGAGATGATTTTTCCTTTAATGTACTTACCAATGTGACCTTTCAGAATATGTCTGTATTCTAGACGGAAGCGATATTGTCTAGCACCTGAATTAAGGACTGGTTCTGTCTCTGCCTCCACCTCTGACCTGCTGTACAATTGTGGGGAAAATCACTTAATTTCTGTCCTTTCTACATTTTCCAGTTGGAAAATGGGAGAGATCCTTAACCTATATTGCAGGGGGATGTAAGGGTTTGGTAATCAAGTTTTGAAATGTATCTACAGAACAGATGTAGTGAAGGATGCCAGGGAGCTGCAGTGCAGCAGACAGCCCTAGGAGCACTTTTTCCATGTCTCGCTGTATCACCTGTGCAGAACGTCCAGGAGCTTGGCTGGATCCACAGAGAAGATGCCTCACGTGCACTCTGTACAGCTGTAAAGCATGGTGCAAACTGCAAATGAGTAAGGGATCCCATTTCCTTGGGTTCAACAAAGGATTTCTGCCACCATCTGAAGCTGGCTTTGGTTTTTTCTGCACACTGAGGAAACCCCTTTCAGTGTTCTTCTTTCAGGGAAGCTGTATTGGAATAATGTCACTGGCACAGGGAACGACTAAGGAAGCCATAGAAGAGAGAATGGTGTTCTTACAAACCACAAAAATTGTGGCTGGTGGAGGAACTTTACTTTGGATGCTCCTGAACCTTTACTTTTACATTCCAAAGGCATCCAAGACAAGTAGTCCTTTTCTTTCTCTTAAAATGTTATTATTTATGTCTGGAGGATGCTGCTGGAACTTTCTGAGGTAAAAAAAGATTTCAGGGCAGAGGCCCCCAGATATCATCCAAATGTTTGAGCCTCTTCTGGCATTTTGGGCATGTCTGCCTTCAGCAGCGCCTGGAGTGCATGGGATGCTCTCTGGGTAGGATGGATTCCATCTGAGGAGACAATGTTCTCATCAGGCTACACCTAGTATTTTTCATTACAAAAACAGAGGCTCACTTTTCCTATCCTGGTACACTGAGCCTTTTTTTGTTTTTTAATATCCTTCTGAAATGGTCAGGTCACTAACAGCATTTTACCTGCTTGCTTGGCTTCAGTGTCAGATTGTCAGAGGTAAGGCAGTGGGAAACCAGAGGTGATGACAATGGTCAAGCTCTTTACTACACACCTGATCTGTGCTATAATGAAGATAATAATTCACTAGCTGCCATGTTGGCTCTAAACGTTAATTGTGCCACACTCAAGGCAGTTCTTTCTCAGCTAATTATGTTTAAAAGTATCTTGACTGTATTTCCTTAACCAGATTGCTATGAATGCATGAGAGGCCCTCTGGAACATTTTCTGGTGGCTTTAATGATGTAGAAGGGAAAATGCAATAACCAAGTTTTGCATTTAGAACTTTAGTGCTTCCAAAGGTTCTTGGCACAGGGCTGCAACGCTCAGTATTACTCATGTTCTTGTTTCCCAAAGTAACTAGTCTGTCATTATATTAAGCTGACCTGTGAGCAAGCATAAAGAACCTTTTTTTCTTGTAAAAAAACTGTGAGATCAATACATTTCTACTGTCCCAAGCTGTAACTGCATGAACAGCACAAACCAGCATGCTTATGGAAAAAATGCACATTCTGCTACTGTTGCCAACCTGTCACAAACCACTGCCCTTGTCTGACTTGGTGCTTAACCAGCATGATATATGTGGGACCATGTTGTCAGAAAGCACTGACTGGGCTTGAAGCCCTCAGAAGCATTAAACCTGGCAAATTTTGTGAATTTAGAGGATTGTAAACAGGATTTTGTGGCCAAATTCCAGCTTGAGTCACCATATTCTTCTAGTTTTAGTTGCATTAGGAAGAATTTTTTTTATTCCCCATCCTTGTCCTGAATTATAAAACATGAATTTGCCAGTCAGATGGACATTCACAGTGATGATCTATGCAGGTAATATGATTATGATCTGTAAAATGAACCCTCTTTCACCAAATCTATGCCTTGAAACAGGTACACCTTTGCTGAATTGATGATAACAGAGCTTTGGGGGATTGTTGACAGTATTTATTTTTAACCCACACCCTTGAGAATAGATTTTAAATTATCTGTAACAGGAGATCTTGTATGTTAGGACTGAAATAATACTTATCTGTAGGAATTTGCTTCTAGTCAGCTTGAGTTTATCCCAAGGTAAGAGCAGTGGGCTTAAATCTCATTTGGAAGCAGCGGGGGAAAGTCTGATCTACACCCTTTAGAGCTCTGGATCAGTACTGCTCAGTTCTGTTTCAGCAAAATAAAAATATTCCCTGGAGGAGTTGAATCATTACTGCATTTTCTGGTGAAGCGCAAGTAAGAGTCTGTAAAAGGAAAGAACTGAACTCAGATCTTCACCTGGAGTGCTTTAACTCACTGGTCTATTATGCAAAAGATGGATGACTTGAACACACATTTATTTGTGCTCATGTAACTAAATCAGGAAAAGGCACTGCTGGCCACAAATATCTGTCATTTATTAATACACAGAGAGGTGCAAAATACCTCTTTCATATCCAGAAACATGCAATATTTCCAACCAGTATAATTTCCACATGAGTGATGCCAGGCTTTGGGAGGGACAAAAAAAACTCGAGGTACCTCTAAACTGCTAAGTAGAATAAACATCTTTAAGCATGAGGTACTATTTATAGTGCCACGGTCATTCTGCATCTTAATCAAGTGTGGGAGATAGGCAGTAAGTGAATCACTTGTGATTGCAGTCAAACATATGCTCTACAAACGCAGTTGCTATTTCGAAGCACACAAAAAGCTAAATTTATAGCCAAATTTTGCAGTCTGTGAGTTACCTTATAATGACTGTTTATAGGAATGTTCTCTCTCCAAAACGTTTGTATTTTATCTGGATGGCTACTTTTTGTTTACCTTTTTTTCTGCACCCTAGAGGTGTAACTTGCTTTTGTTTACCAGTCAACAGCACTGATAGTGATTCTTCTCAAGAGTTTTCCTGAATTAAAGGGAAGCAAACATGCACAAAGCCATATGAAGTACAGCACAACCCTGTCACGAGTCATGAAAAGCAATTGGCATTTGTTACCAGTAACATCTAAAAATTATTTCACTGTTGAGTGGAATATTCATTCTCAGAACAAACATTATTTTTTTTCCTGGAAAGGGAAGGATCTAGTGACATTTTTTTCCCTTAAAGTTTGAAGGGTGCTTTCTTCTACATCCTGGTGCATAACTCCTGATTCTGCCATATGCCTGTCTCCCTCAACACCTTCGTGTACAAAATGAAGCCAAGTCCTGCAATATTTTTTTTAATGGCCTCAATTTTTTTTTTTTTTAATTATTGATAGTCACTGAATAGAGTGTTCAGTAGTGTTAGAACAGAAAAATACTAGAGTTAGGGCAGGTGATAAACAAGTTATTAGCTGTAGTCTAGTGGCATTTTCAGATCTGGACATGTATACAGCACAGTGGTATTTCTTATATGACAGAAAGATTGTTATGAAACATCTTAATAGAGTCCAGAAAGAATCACTAATGCATTTTTGTATGTGTTTTTAAACTTGATAGTTCTTACATATCTATCAATGTACAGTTAAAATTAAGGGACTGAAACCATACATAAATATTAAGACATCCTTAGTTCACGCAACTGTTAAGGGAGTTGGTGGGACAAGTGTTTGTTGCTGCAGGCAATGGTAAAGTAAAAAAAATAGATGTAAAACGTTAAACCTGAAAGAATTCACATGTTAACAAGAAATCTAGGATTTAGAAGGGAGAGAATAAAAAAAACTTGATGTATTCAGGGAAAAAAAACCAAACATCAAGATCACAATGGAGACGAAGATTTTGCTACATGAGGCTACAATTAGAATGATTCACTGGTCCTTTCCAGTTCTAATCTCCTATTGTGCACCTTAAATATGGGTCATGCCAAGAGTTATGCTGGTAACTTCTCAGGAGCAGGTAGCTTTGCTTCAATTTGCATGTGCTTTAAATCACCAGACATAATCACTGCTGTACTTAGCACATTATAACTGGGTTGTCAAGTATAAGTTGCTGCTTGAGTTCACTGGCAGTAAATACCCACGATCAATCAGATTTATTCCCACTCTAGGAAAGGCCAGAGGAGTCCATATATAAGGCTGATGGGAGTGATAAATACTACCTTCAGCCATAGACTGTGCAAAATAAATCTAGGATCTTCTGATACTTCGCAGATAAATGGAGAAGTTACAAAGAAGACTCCTTTGGGGAGTTTCATTTTCACCCCATCCCTTCGAATTTGGTGTCACTGCTCAGAATTTCAATATATTTTGAAGTATTTAACTGCTATTCTGCATCCACACACTGATGGACACAAGCAGTACTATTACGTGGCCCTCCCAGTAGAAGTCTCATCTGTGAATTAGTATGGGCAGTCATAAAGATGCTCTGCAAGAAGGGCTGCATCAAGTGTAAATATCCAGATCATGCTCTCAGATTCACTTGGGAAGAATACAAGGAATATTTTCCCTGTGAATTCAGAGAAATAGGAGCTATGGGCGGGGAGGACTGTATGGAATCCTTTTCTCCTCCTCCTCCTGTCATTCCTCTCATTATTTTCTTTCTCCAGCTCCTAATCGCAAGATTTTGCCATTGATCAGAATTTGGGCCCCAGTTCACTAATAGCCATGCTGTTGAAACAATAGTGTTTAAAAACTGTCACACAGTGCCTGTAAGGCTATTGCATTTAAAAATCTGGTTGCACTTCTCTGCTTGTAACTCATTCGTGAACTGTTACTCATATGTATTTTAGAAAACAGCAAATAAAATATGAATGAAGTAGGAGATGCTCTGCCTGATACGTACTTCTTGAGAAGGAAACATGCAGCGATGTTTGCTGAATGTGTAGCTTTTCCTTTCTCTAAGGA